TGATAAAATGGTATTAAAATGAAAAAAGTTTAAACAAAGGAAATGAAGAATTTATATTATATTAGAATTTAAAGAGTAAATATAAAAGATTGAAAGAAAGAATAATAATAGGATTCTTGAATGCAACATTTGGAATGATGTTTCCAGTTGTAGATGTGTTAAGCAAAGAGAGATAATGATAGTTTCTTGAGTTTTGAGTTAAGCTTGTTGTAGATGAGAGAGAAATTTTGACGAGACTGAGGAACTTCATTTGGAATGATGTTTCCAGTTGTAGATGTGTTAAGCAAAGAGAGATAATGATAGTTTCTTGAGTTTTTGCAATTAACCATCCTCAATGACTATTGTTTTAATATAATTTTTAAATTTTTTAAAACTGACATTTTAGTTGTATATTTTTTCTAACAAAGGTACATTCACTAGGCGATAACAGTAAAATGGGATGAAAATATGATAAATAGCATCCCTATATAGTGCCAAACAATATTTATACGGGCCAAAAAAATTGGCTAGAGATTTGGCGAGTTATAAAACTTAGAAAATTGAGAGGGATTTTTATTTTTGAATTTTTTTTGGAAAGTTAAAATTGCGATTAAAAATCGATTTCCAGGAGAACTAAGCATCTCATCATATATTTAAATCGATAAAAATATTAAATAATAGTTGAATAGTATAACAACGTGAAATTATGGCTGAATCTACAGAAAAAATGAACATATTTGACATTTTTGAAAATTCATACGTTAGATGGTGACAGACTCATAAACTATACTTTAGCTAAGATTGATATATGGTTTCAACAACACATGGTTAAAATTGTAAAAATATTTTAGATTTCAAAAAGATATATATGGTAATATAATGGAACAAAGTCAACAAATAGCATGTTAAATATGTTATAATTAACTTTTTATTAGATCCAATAGTAGATATCGAATGGTTTCCAGCTTTATGGTTAAATATTTTCTTTTCGAGCTTCTCTTTAACTGTTGTATTAAGGTTGTAAATTTTTGATGCTAGAAACTATGGAATCTTCTTTGCTGCTGCATTTTTCTTGAGAGTTCTTGCAATTTCGAATAGATCTGCGCATTGTATGAAATTGAGGCTTTAAAATATCTTGAAAACAGAATAGGACTGCTTTTCCAAAGGAATGCTTACTTGTAAATCAGAGAGTTTCAAAATTGAGAGCAAGATTATCATCATAACTTTCGATTTTGCTGCGAAAAAGGAAGACAAGTAATTAACAAATCATTTACTGTTGTTCATCAAAAGAAGAAAACTTTGATAACAACTAATGATGATAAAATCAAGCTATCTTTTAATATTTTAAATTGATAAGACATTCAAAATATTTGAATGGTTTAAAATATTTTCTTTTAATTTCTATAAGATATTATCATGATTATATAATAAAATTTAAATTTTTATTCAAAAAGGCAATATTTCAAACTTTTAATTTCAAAAATCTTAATTCTGCAATAAGTGTATTTAATTGTAGCAAATTTAATGATCCTTCGTCATGCTTAGCAATTTGGAACTCATAAATTAATGATTTCTTCAAGTAAAATTCTGCATTATTTCAAAAGTCAATAATTCTCTAGTAACTTTTCTTCAAACCCTAACCATTATATTATATGTATAATGGAGAATAATTGCAAAGAAAGATAGCCGAATTTACTGGGTAGTTCTTGTGATGCGAAATAATTGCAAATTAACACATAGTTTTAACAGCATCAATCTCTTTTTGCTCTCATTTAAATGCATTCGCACACTTTAATTTTGAAATATAAGAGTTTTGGAAATTATCAAATTTATCTGCTCAAATACTATAGATCTTCATAAGTGTTAATAGAATCACCAGCCTTACATATAGTGTTTAATATAATGATGCACATCATACTGGGATTTATTCCTTATTCATCTAGTTATTATAAGATTTACAACCCCATGAAAATTTAAAATTTTGTCAAAAATAGTGAATGTACCTTTTTTCTAACACAACTATCAATAAATTGTAATATCATTATACTATATATTAATATGAATTTTTATAGAAAAGCTTTATTTTTTTCTCAATTTTTAATTTCATTTCAGTCTCTAAACTTTCTTACTATGTAAAAACGTATTATTATAGTAATAAAATAAAATACATGTTTATTCGATCTCGTATTTCAAAAAAATAAAATTACTTATATAAAAAGATTCTCTTTAGTCAACTTTCTTTTTGAATCTCTAATAAGTTTTTACTGTTGCTTCTATATATTAAGTATTGATTCTTGTAGTAAAGAAAATCCGGAACGTTTATTTATTAGAATACTCGAACTTTGACTTACATATTACTAATTGTAATTATTTTCAAGAGCTATTTCTATTACTCCTACTTGTTCGGCTTAAAATCTGCTATATTGTTAAGATAAACTAAGTCTAAATTTTGAACCATTTTTTGAAGTTTAAAGTGTAATACATATCGATTTTTTATCCGAATTTAAGAATTGCTTCAAAGTTTTAGCGTGAAATCGTGCATTTTTTCTAATGAAATTGTTATTATAAGATAAGCAATCTGAGTTTTTTTGAATAATATGTCACTACACATGATAGAGCGTTACGTGCTGAAAAGTTACGCTTCGTTCTGAAAGTGGTAATGAAGTTTTATTAGAATTCATCAAAAAAACGTATGAAAATAATCGTATGTCAAAATGTGAGCACTTCTCAAAATTTGCTCACATTTTGACTATTTTTGTGAGATCTTCCTCACAATTTTTTGACAAACGTACAAAAAAAGTGCCAAAATGTGAGCAAATGTGAGCAATTTTTATATCTCAAAGAAACGTTTGAAGTAGATGAGATAGAGAAAGCTATAAAATTATTTGACGAAGTTGCTGAAAAATACATGTAAAGCGTTTATTTTTGGTCTTTTGTGAAAGTTAGAAAATAACGCTAATTTTATTTTTATTTTATTTTTTATTTTGTATGTAAAGACAGATATGACAACAACAGAGAACACAACAACTGCTATCGTTCATGAAGCCATAAATGAAGAATACGAGTGGGTTCAGTATAACAAACAGTTACGTCTCATTCGTTCGGTCAAAGATGACATGTACCAAATGCAAAGTATTTTGAATGCTCTTCGTTCTACAAAGCAAGCACATCATTGGTTTGAAAACCAACAGACAAAAGAACTTTTAGAAGAATTTCCTCATATGTTTGCGACCCTCGGAAAACCGCGGGTCGAGATTCCATTCGAAAATCGTAAAAATTTGCCAAATGGTTTGAGAGGTTGGTACGTACATAGACTTCTTGTAAATGCTGTTGCAATGTGGGCTTCACCTCGTTACGCTTGTTATATTTTCATGATGTTAGATGAAATTCATAGACAAGAACGTGAAGAGCTAGAGAACAAGCTTGAAGCAAAAGATGAAGTCATTGAAGCAAAAGACAAAAACATACAGAAAAGAATACCACGTTCGGTACCAAAAGGAAAGGAAAAGAACTATAAGTATATGATTTACACTGAAGAGATGGAAAATGAAGAAGACAGAGATATGGTTATGTTGCATTTAGTCAGAAGAAACAACAAAAGCTTTTACGACCTTGCTAAGATTTACAAATCTGACAGAAATTGGTTCTATCGCGAAAACTTACCGATTTCAATGTAGGGTTGTTAGATTCCCGACGATAGGTGTCTTGGAAGATTTGCCTGGTGTCATCATAGTGTCTTTAAATCAAAAATTTTATTTTGGAGTTAGTTTTATTGATTTTTCAATAAAAAACATTTCTAAAACAAGAAAATAAAACGATAAAATATTTATATTTTATATAAGGATCTTATATATTTAAAATAAATATCATTTTATTTTTTTCATTGGTGTCTGTCAAACCATAATACACTATTCAAAAATTCAATGTGTCTTGCGGTTTCAAAAGACACCTTCAAATTGAACGATAGCACAGACACTATTGAATTTTACCCATTGTATTTAGTTTTTACCCTTTTTATTTTTAAGAATTAATGACTGAAACAGCCGTTTGTTATGACCTCAATCACTTTTATTTATTATTTTAAATATTATTTAATTTTATTATTTGAATAGGCCAACTTATATTTGAGAAGCTCAATTTGAGACCACTTAATACATTGAAATATCATAAATATTGAAATATTAAAAAGTGTATTTCAAAATATTGAAATTATAAAATTTATAATACTGAAATTGAGACAAATTAATAAATTCAATGTGTTTTTTTTTGAAATAACTCTCAAATATTATTTTTTTGTTTATTTAATGATGAATAAATATGATTGCTTTAGTCAATCATAAAAACTGATTTAAGTTTAAAATAATGAAAGGATAATTTGATCGTTTTTTAAAATACAATTATTTTTGATGATTTGCAAGAATCTTTGAAAAGAATATAATATAGGTTCTATTTTTGTAAAATTTATCCAAATCATTTATTACATAAATTACGATTAAAACGATGAAAGAACCAAAAAGTGTGTTTTGTGTTTTGTTGTTGCGTGTTGGATGCGGGATCCTGTTATTTCCGAAATCGACAAAAAATTTGGAAATTTAATTTCCGAAATCGAAATTATATTAATGTTTTTAATATTCTTATATCAAAAGGATTAAAGTTCATTAAGAGAAAAACAATTCTTCTCCTTCAATCTATTGGCGCATTTATTTCTACACGCCAATAAGGAAGGGAAAATTATAAGACACCATGGTGTCTTCAAAACGCTAATTTTTGATATTTTTAACAACCCTATTTCAATGACACCGAATGAAGATGTGAAACAAATAGTTCAAGATACGTTACCTCAAACACACTATGATATGAAAGGTTGTACAATACTTACCTTCAAAGAAGATTTGCCGCTACTGAAAGAAAAAATAACAGAGTATTTTGACAACTTCAAAGAGGAAGAGTAAATGAACCATTTATTTTTCAAGCTTGACACCAAAGATGGCTCAGGTAGCTCTATAAAGTAAATTGTCTTGTCAAATCCTTCTGGCATTCCGAGTCCTTCCATCCGACAGGAAAAAAATTTCCCGACAACTGGAAAAAAATTTCCTTCCAACAGGAAAAAAATTTCCTTCCAACTGGAAAAAATTTTCCTTCCGACAGGAAAAATTTTTCCTTCCGACAGGACACAAACGGACAACTGGAAGAACTCTTCCTTCCGACAGGACACAAACGGATGGCTGACGTTCCTCTTCCTGAATGTCTTCCAAAGCCAGAAGAACCGACAGCCCCAGCACCACAACAGACTAAGACAAACACTTACATTTTTCAAGCTTGACTTTTTACAATTTGAACTTTGTTTGCGTAGATGTGAATTCTGAAAGAAGTATGAGGGTCTTGTATGACTTTGTACTTCTCCCATAGTTCATGTCTGTCAAACTTACCTGCCATGGACTCTTTCATAAGTTCCATGAAATCGTCTTCGGACAATCCGGGGAAAAGTACAATGTCAGTAAGTATTCTCTTTACATCCTTACTTAAACTCTTTGCTGTCTGTACACAAATGACAACTGAAATGTTAAAGTGTCTGAGCTTCTTAAGAATTCGACACATGTCTTGTTCTCTGTTCTTTAACAAAGGATGAGAAGCAAAGTCATCTAAGATAAGAAGACATCTGTGAGGTAAGTCTTCCAATCGTAAGATTGCAATTTCTTCGAAATGTATTCTATCTCTTTCTGTTTGTTTCTGAAGTGTTTCTTCTCTAATATTCTCTGCATTTCCTCATTTGGGTCTTTAAACTTCGAATTGACATACTCATTTATAGCATTGTACTTCAAAACTCTTCTTTGGTACTTCTTTATCCAATCTAACAACTCAGAGTCTTTTATACATACTAACTTAGACTTCTTTATAATATCTTTGAACGAATTTACGGTTTGGTCGAATTGACCAGAAGTACTACAAATGACTACTAACTCATAGAATGGGTTCTTCTTCATCTAGTTCTTGTTGTTGTGCAGCCATTTTAAGATAAGTGAAAGTCTTACCCGACCCAGGCGGTGCAATTAGACCTGTTATACCATTCTGAGCAAATAAGAACTTGTCATGTATGGGTTTTATCTGAGCATTTTCCAACTTCCTCTTGTTCTTATTTAAAACATTCTCAAATTTTTTGTCAATGTCAGCAAACTTTTTTTCTAACATATTTTTAGAAAAATTAAAATTTTTATCTTTTAGAAAATGTCTAGCGATTTCGCTATCTATATTCGAGACAAGCTTTTCGACAGCAAAACATCTGTCGACCATAAAATCTTACATAGTGTAAACAAGAAAGGTGAATTTGTTCTAAAGTTCTGTTTCTGGAATATGACAAGAACCATAAAACATTAAGCAGAGAAGTCTTAAAATTTGTCAATGACAGACTTGTTGACAGAGATGACGCCTCTTGGAGAGATGAAGTCCAACAAAACTTCTTAGAATGCAAAGAAGACACATGCGCTGTTCTTGAAAATGAAATAGAAAACAGAATAGAAGAGCTATTAAAGGACAAAGACCTTTTACAAAAATATGGTTCTGAGAAGTTTGACATAACTCCACCAGAGAAGAAGAAGAGAGAAAAGAAAGAAAAGAAAGTAGAAGAAGAGAAGAAAGAACCAGAACCAGAGAAGGGGAGATATGACATGTAAAAATAAAATTTTATTTTTAGAACATTTCTGGGTCAATGTCAATGTTCTCTTCTCTTTAGGAGCAAACACCGGCTTAGACTCTAAAATCTTTTTACCCAATTTACCTTGAACTTCAACTATCTTAGACTCATAATATTCATAGTCGTCTGCTTTCTTTGGTTCATAAGGTATAACAAGTTTGTATGCTTTGCCTTCTTTAAGGTTTGAAAACCTTCTGTCAAAACTTTCTTTGACTGTTAACAAACCTTCTATGTCTAAGTCTTCAAATTTCGCACCATTTTTAGTCACAATAGCAAACTTAACTGGTTCGATGTTCCAAACTTTGTCAAATGTAGACTTTTCAAAATGGTAGAAGTAAACATTCAAATATGTGAATGGGTCTAGTTCTTCTTTAAGTCCTGACATGTACTTGTTGACTGAGATGAATTTTGTCATCTTTCCTATCGGATAAAAAAAATATTTTTTTTAAAATTTACTCATAAAAATTTTTCTTTGTATATACACCATTCTGTACGTCTAAAAGACTTTTGACATTTGCCAAGAATGTTCGTTTAGACGCTGTCATATAACCATACTCTTGACAATATTGTTTATACGAATCGTACAATGACCTTTCATCTAAACACTCAAAGTCAGTTTCATCTATGAACAGTTCATATACACTCTTGTTTGCTTCTAACAATGTTTGTCTCTCTTCGGTATGTGGAATTTGTCTTGGATTGAACTTAGAAATATCTAATGTCATGAAATATGAGAACAAGTGGTTGTAAAAGTCAGATGTCAAAGTTTCTGCTAAGTCGTCAAAATATTCTGTATCTTGCATATGAGAATCTGACGTTCTGACAACTACATATCTTCTGTCAGAACTTTCTAACTTCATCGGAACAGCGTTGTTTGAAACCATAATGAAATTTGCAACATTTTCACAAACTCTTTGGTCTTTATATTTTCTTTCAACAACTCCAACTTTGTCTGTTATAAGACTCTTCAAAGCATCTGAGTTCAAAACCTTTGTTGTATCTATACTTTGAAGTTCGTTACATACTATAAGTTTCATATTCTCTATTGAAGAGTTAAATTTACCGCAATGTTTTCTAAGTTTGTCATATTCGGATTCGAATAACCTTCTAACAGTTTGCACAAAATATCTGTAAAGAAAGTGTTCTTACCTGTTCCTTGTTTTCCAATTATAATGAGAGCAGTTTCATTTTTAGCACTTGGATGTTGTAAGATGTTTGCAAACCAACATAAGATATACTCATAGACTCTTTCGTTTCCATTGCATATAATTTCTTTGACATGGTCTAACCAAGCTTCTATAACATTTTCTTTCCATTCTACTTGTTCGTATTTATATCCAGTGAAGATAGAATAGAAGTTTGGAGATGGTGTATAGAACTTTATACCACGAACTGAAAAATCTTCAAGTTTTGACAATAAGATATCCCAAGCATCTAACATCTTCATACCAACTTGTACGACTTTTATTTTCTTAAGTTTCTGTTTACATTCTTGTTCTGAAACTATTGTCGCTCTTGGTTTGTTAAAGACAACATCCCATTCTTTCATAACATAACATTCTGGGGCAGAGTCGACATAAATGACTAAACGTTTCAAATTCTCGACTGCTTTGTTATAGTCTCGAAATGGACACATATTTCTGAATGTTTGGAAGTCATAAAAATCTGAAACATCTATTCTGTACATTTTTATAAAAATAAAAAAAATATTTTTTTATTCTTGACTTTGTTGTTGCATTTGTTCCATTTGTTGCATTTGTTGTTCTTGAGCTATTTGTTGTTGAAGTTGTTCTTGTAGTACAATACTTTCACCAGTTGCATCTTCCAATTCGAAACTTTCTGCTGTCATTGACAAATACATAGGACATAAAAGTTTTACAGGAACAAAGTTTGCGTCAACTAAGGTTAAGTTTATGTTTGCCAAAGTGTTTGAGTTCACTAAAGCTGAAAACTCTGCATTCGAATGAACAATAGGCAAACCAGCAGAGAAAGTGTTGTTTATACGCATGAGTATCTTTTGGTCATAGTAGTTTCTGTCGACATTCGAATAGCACTTTGAACCTAAGTTTGAAACAATATATAAAATAGGTGTACTTAAAGTCAATGGAACAGACAAACCTTGTATGACACCTTTTCCTGTTATAGGAAACTGTTGGTAGTAAAAACCAGATATAAGTTTTGTATTATAGCTCATATCGTTTATAGTAAACTCAGTCGGACATCCAAATAATGAAACCTGCTCTAGTTGCAGCACATGTTACATCCGTCCTTAAAGTATTAAATAAGTCAACAAAACCTGTTGGTGGTATATCTGAGTAAGTATCTTCAAAGGAGTATTTTTTACCATTCACAACAACAAAGTCTTCTGGTGTCAAAAGAGCAAAACAGGCTTTAGTCGTCATTGTGTTTAAGGTTAGTTTACAATATCGTCCTTGACGACTTTGTAAGTTTGTTGTTATAGAATTATATGACTCAGGTTTTTAGTCGTAATAGTATAAACCACTATGTCTTCTGCCATTTACTTAGCAACTAAATTTTAATGAAATGTTGTGGTCGTCAAATATTTTTATAACGTCTGGGAAACTATATTTTAAGTTCAACGTTTCACCTCCTTTCATAACGTATATTTTGTCAATGATATTATATGAAACACCACAGCAAGCAATGTCGGGTTCTATTTCTTGATGTTTATATCGTCTGCCTCTGTCAAAAGTTTCAATAGTTCTTTCAAAACTTCATGAGGTGCAATGACATATGAGTTCACTTTTACAGGGTTGTGTTCGACCAAGTTTAACATTATACCTAAAGCTTGACAAATCTTCTCCTGAGTTTTAAGTTTGTCTTTAAGTTGTTGGTAGTCGTTTCGAATATCTGCAACAGAACTTAAGTCTCTGCTAACTTCAGGATATGTTGGTTGTTCTTTTACAGGAACTATTGTTATACCATCTTTGTCTTCGTATGGTTTCCCCACTTCAACATCTCTGTCTTTGACATTGACAACAACACTTTGACTGTTTGTTTGAGTTGGTGAATTTAACTTCACATCTGCCACCGCCATTAAACCTTTTGAAACACTTACGCTTCTATTTTTCGGAAATGACATTTTACTGAGAATAAAAATATGGACGTATTTGAGTATCTCTTCGAATTGAAGCAAAACAAAGTTTACACACACAAACAGTACAAATACATTGACAGAGTAGTTCTTTACACAAACAATGGAAAATGTTATAGAATAGCAGTCTTTGCTGAACCAAAATATTTTCATAAAGCAAAGAAAGTTGGTATAACTGAAATGGTGAAAGTTCTTGAAGCAGACAAAAATATAACAACAAAACTGACCGATATTTCTAAAGGAAAGTTTATAATACAATATTATATCAAAACTGGCGTACTGTCAATATTTGACGGAGAGAAGTCAGTTCAAGAACAACTTACTGACCTGCTGCCAAAATCTGCTCGATGGAAGCTGTCGTTATACCAATCTGAGGAGCCCCAGCAGGTTTCATCGAACGAATCTTCAAAAGCATCTTCCGTGAAAAGTGCTATTGGTTTTGTAAACTTCTTTGCTTTCAATTCATCTGGACCGTCTCTGTCACCAGTATATTGTATTTGAACTGTACCAACAGTTGAAATACCACCCATAAAGTCTTCTGAGTCAGCAAATGGAATGCCAAGCCAAAAGTTTGAACGGTCTCTATTTGTATATTGAGTTTTTTGAGCTCCTGCATGGGTCCATACTTTCACATATGGCATAATAGAACTTTGCATTTCAGGGTTAATGGTTGTTGTGAAGTTGTTGTTAAAGTTCATAGCATCTAATGTCAAGTTGTATGACCTCATATCCTCAACTGTAGAATATTCTTCTCTTGGATAATATTTGCCATCTATGTTTATATGATATTTAATACCGGGGTTGTAGAAACAAGAATAGTCATTTATAGTTCGTCTGAACAGTACAAACATAGTATCTGCATGTTTCATTGCAGTTGTTAAGGCAATATCTGTTCTTGCACCTGGGTCAGCACTTTGTTTCCAACTTCACCTGCAAGTCTTTGACAGATATTTGGTGTATAGGGAACATAAGTGGAACTGCAATATATTTGGCAGCTAAAGCATTTGAAATATCTGGGTCCAAACATATAGACTGCAAGTCTGCTTTCTATTCTCTTGCATTCAAACTGTTCGCATGTGAACTTAACTGGGTCCCAAGCAGTTCCAGCAGCATTGAAATAATAGTTTACTTCATTGTTGAAGTTTGAGAAACCAAAGTCTAAGTCAACCTTGCTTTGCAAAATTCGGCGAATGACGTTTGATTTGTTCCCTTTACGTCTGTAATAGTGAATGGGTCTTGTGTTGGTGCAATGACTAAGTTATTTTTGCTTGAGTAAGTTCGATAGAAATTTTTCCTGCCCAGTTTGGCAAGTATCTTAAAAACCTGAAGATGAGGAAAGATGACAAAGGAACTCTAAGTTTCAGTTTTACTTTGGTTACTGCTGCTGCAGTTTGTCCAGAAAGGTCACATAAACTCCTGGAACGTTAGGGTCAAGTCTTCTTATTTTCTCAATAGTTGCATACTGGTCTGTTTGTTCTCTAGCTTGTGGTTGTACTGAGTTTCTCAAAGCGAACCATTCATAGTTTGCCCATGTTACTGTTTGAACTAAGTCAGAGTTAGAATATATCTTATATCCATGAAAACTTCTGGAGCATATTGGTATCCGACATAGAAAATTCCATTGCAACCTTTCTTGTCAGACAACTTGGCAGAAGGTTTTATTTCAATGTCTTGTTCCACGTATAAGAATGAGTTGTCAATAGAAATAATATGAAACCTGTCGCAAGCAATATCTACTGTTTTGAAGAACCTTCTCCAAACTCACCTACGTTTCCATAAGAAACAGCAGTTGTATATTCGTAAGTTCCAGGAACTATTTCTGACCTTCTAATGGCATTGTCGCATTCGTTATACCATTCGGAAACATTTCCATTCATTGCATCCAAAACTGTTGGCGTTATATTCTGAGCGGCGTACATTTCATATGGGTAAAAATATAGAATAGTTGATTATATGTCATAATAGAACCCACGTGGACCAAGCTTTACTTTCTTCCTGACTGAGTTTTTAACTTCTTTTTCCTTCATTGCCACTACTTTCACTAGATGAAGTTACTTCTTCACTACTTTCACTTTGTTCTACTCTTCTCTTCTTCTTTGGTGTCGCTTTTGGTAACTTGCCCTCTGCTTCAAGTTGTTGCATCTTTGCCTCATGTTCACCTAGTATGTTGCAAATTTCCATGTCCTTTTGCCTTTGAGCTCTGGTCGCCCATCTCAGGTAACCTATATCCTAGAAAGATTTTGTCATAGTTTGTATTTGAGTCTTCGCGTATTGTTTGCATGACTCTTTCCTGAGTTTCCGGTTCAAGCTCTTCAAACAGAGCTTGTCCATATGGAATAAGCTCGTTTCCAAATATATGTTTTGTAGCCATTCTGGTTTTCTTTCCATGTTACCAAATATCTTTTGTGAATGGGAAAGCTTTTACCCAATGTTTCAGTCTTGGGTCATTTATTTCTGTAGTTGGTTTTATTTTGTCAAGGAACATGTTTTTCAATACTAACATTTCATTTGGTACTGTCCATTTGAGTTTTCTTAAATATTCATCCCTTCTCGGTTCATTGTCTGCAAAGTAAGTTTTTATGACATTTTGTAAACTTTCGTTTGCAAGGTCATGTACAATAGGTTCTCTTCCTTCTCTATCCCTAACTTTCTTTCTAAACTCTTCACCAAATATACCATCTTTATGGTTCTGTGTAGTTCTTTGAGATAAATGTTCTAGAACGTCAGGTGTTATATTTTCATCAGCCATGTTCATTTCATACTGTCCAAATATCTGCATGTTTCATATCTTTCAATGGCATTAAAGCCGCGCTGAAATACCAGCTATATCTGGTTCACCATTCACTTCCATTGCGTCTACAACTTCTTGGAATTGTGGTTGTAAGTTTATGAACCACCTATCCGGGTTAGCTTTATGACCCCATCTCATTGTAGTTCCATAGTCTGCAGAAACAAAAGTAGGTTTGTTTCCATCTTGGCTAGGTTCTGAATGAACTTTAAACAATGTTTCATTTCTATATGTTTTGGTGAAATTTAACCTTTTATTTTCACCGAGTTCATCCAAAGATTGAACGTTGTATGCTCGTAAGTAAAAAGGGTTGTTGTATTTGTGTACATTTTCTTTCAGTACTTTCATTCTATGCTGAATATTTTCATCTGGTGTTGGAGTCTTTTGTATGTCGGCAAACATTTTTCGATATTCTTCTACTCCGTCAGCCGAATTTTTCTTTAACTCTTGGAAAGATTCCATATTCACCTCATACTCTTGTTGAGGGTCAAGATTTTTCGGCTGTTCCAAATCTTCATCTAGTTTTGTGAAGTTAGTTTCCAAAGGAGGGACTTGTTCGTTTCCTTCAGGCTCTTCTAGCTGTTGTTGCTGAACTATTTCTTCCATGTCTGGTTGTATCTGAACTTCTTCCTGTGGAGTTTCTTGTACCTCATCTGCTGGCATTTCATATATTCCGAGACCGTTTTTAACAAGTTCCCTATCTAAGTCATCCGGACTCATAAACCTTTCTTCTTTCGTTCCGTCTCTATTTTTTACGCGTTTCATGAAGATAGTTGAATTATCA